GGCGGTGGGAGGTGGTGCCGACGGCGACGACGGGACGGCCGCGCTGGTGGCGGCCCTGGCGGCGGGCGGCGTCGGGGCGGCATTGGTGGCGGCCGCGGTGGTCGGGGCCGCGGTGGCGGTGCTCTGGTGGCGCCAGCGGGCGCTGCGGAATGCGCGGATGACGCTCCAGGAGAAGGCGGCGGGCGTGTTCGGCAAGGTCATGTCGGACCCCAGCCTGGCGGCCCTCCACAACCGCTGCCAGTCCAACCCGCTCTTCGAGGACACCTGGAAGACCGTACCCGAGTGGCCGCCAGAGGCCTTGTAAATCGAATCCTCGTCATCCAAAAGAAATCTTCATTTCTAGCCCTCCTATACACAGGTTATGACGACCACTGAAGTTGCGTTGCTTCTATCATCTTCATCTTCTATGGTGCATCGTCATCTGAGCGTTAAAAGAGAGAATGATTTTCTTTTCCGGAACTAAGGGAAATGGTTTTCTTTGTTTTTACTGTCTTGGCTGTGCGAGGGCGAAGGACAGAGAGCGGAGAGGGATGGAAGCCACACAGCTGCGACGACCACAGATGCGGCCGCGAGGGGATGATCGCCAGGGCGAGATCCAGGGCCAGGAGGAAGGGAGAAGGAGACCGACCGAGTAGAGGATGGAGATGGAGCACGGCGGTGAAGAAGAAGGAGACCGGCCGGTCCCGAGTAGAGGATGGAGCAGATCTCAAGAACGGGCGATCGAAGAAGCACGAGTCCGTCCTTGCTGCTGCCCTCGCCCTCCTCAAGCACAGTAAGTTTCTTTTTCTTCTCTTCCCCCACCCCTCAATTCGCTTTAATTCAATACGCCTTGGTTTATTTTATTTATAAATTAATTCCTTTCTACTTCTCATCATTATTTATGAATTATTTTTATATTTTCGTAGTGGGTGCGACAGAAGAGGAGAGGGCCTTTGTTGCGCGGGTCGAGGAGGCGGCCTCCAACCGAGGGAGATGAAGGCGACGACGAAGGCGAAGGCGCCGAGAAAGACGACAGACAGCGCACGCTGGCCGTGTGCCGCCTCGTTCGGGAGCACCTCCGCACGCGCGACCCCGTACTCACCCACGACCTCGCCCCGCACTGGCTCCACGCCTCTCGTATCCCCCTCCCCCCTGGCCGCCACCGTGTGTCGTGTCGCCGTGTCGCCGTGTGCTCAGCAAAGGTCGTGTGCGTGTGCGTGTTGCAGGGCTGGGGCGGGTGGAGGAGCGGCTGGCCCTCTGACCTACCGTGAGGTCATCGACGCGGGGTACTTCTTCCCCTCGGCCAACTCGATCGACTTCCAAGCCGGCGTCCGCGTGCTCAAGAACGAGTCTCAAGGCCAAGGCGCCACATCGGCCCTGACTCCGGACCTGCAGCGCGCCGTCGACCGCGTCACCGGCGGACCGCATTCCAGCTCGCTCCTGCGCCTCAACTCGTCGCTCCAGTGCTACCAGCCGCCTCCCGTTTGTGTGCCGCTGCTCGCAGGTGTCGGCCAAGCTTGAGTCTGGCGCACCCTTCGTCAACAGCTCGGACGACGGCTACAGCATCGTCGACTACTACCAGCTCAGGTTGGCTCTCGATTACGCCCTCGGCAGCACCAGCAGCAGCAACAGCACAGGTTGCCCCAGGGTCACTCATCATCTACTCAGTGGGATTCGAACCCCAAGGACGTAAGAAGAGCGATGAATGCGAGAGAGAAGATACTTCAGCGCGCTGTCGCCCGACGGAAAGATGATCGCCTGCTCCAACACGCTGGCCGTCAATCTCTTCCGATTAGACGAGTCCACGTCTAAGACCAAGGAGGTGCAGGTGACCAAACACGACGCCAAGCTCACTGCATGGTACGCGTCTCTCCACGCGCCCACCCAACTGCAGACCGCACTGACCTCGGCCGGGGTGTGTGTTGCGTTGGATCCGATCGGCACCACAGGGACAACTACCTGGTGACCGGTACTTTCAACGGTGGCCTGCAGCTGATCGACATGCTGCCGATCCCCTCAAAGTCCGCCGCTCATGGTCGCCTGCTGCTCATGGTCGCCCTCCGCTCGTCGCCGAAGTCCGCCGCTCGTGGTCGTCGTCCGCAGGAGCAGGCGCAGCCGCTCAGGTTGTCTTCGTGGCCTTGTTGGATGCCTTCGTGTTTGGTGAGGGTGCCCTCTTTCTGTCCTTCTCATTGTCATCGTCGCTGCTGGTGCTGCTGCTACCACCGCCGTTGATGTCTTCGTTCTCGTTGATACCTTCATGGCGCAACACAAAGTTCGAAGTGAATTGTGGCGTCCACACATGAGCGGCACGAGCGGCGGACTTCGGCGACGACCATGAGCGGCACGAGCGGCAGACGACGACCACGAGCGGCGGACTTCGGCGACGAGCGGCAGGCGACCACGAGCAGCAGTCGACCATGAGCGTGGTCGCCAAGCGGCGGACGAAGGCGGAGCAAGGGTGGAGCGAAGGAGGAAAAATTGTCCATCTGTTTGTCCATACAGTGTAAGGTGAAATTGGTGAAATCAATGTGCTGGCACATTGATTAGCTTCCAAGGTCCGTCTTGCAAAAGGAGACACTTGTCAATATATTTCTATTACTATTATGATGCTTTATCACTACTCTTTCGGTTGACCGAGACGCGGCCCTCACCTTGCCGTCCCGTCCCAAGTGCAGGCGCAGTCGGTCCACCTATTCGTGTAGTGTGGGGTCGTGCACTCGTGCGGGCAGAAGCACGAGCAGTCGGTGGCATTACGAACTCCGTCGTTTATGCACACGCAAGAGTCACGCCAACCGTCCTGTTCGCAGCACGTGCACGAGCAGTCCGGGTTGCGCACCGCGGAGTTGTGACACCACATCGAGCATGAGCACGCGCAGTCAGCGCCGAGCACGCCACCGTAGAGGCACTCATTGGAGCACGAGCACGAACAGTCGTCCAGGTTGAGTATGCCGCCGTTGGCACACGGCTGGCACTCGCACGAGCAGTCGGGGCCGCGAACGCCATAGTTGAGGCACTCATTGGGGCAGTCGCACGAACAGTCGTCCAGGTTTTGTACGCCGCCATTGGTACACGGCTTGCACTCGCACGAGCAGTCAGGGCCGCGCACCGAATTGGTGGGGCACTCGTTGGCGCACTCGCACGAACAGTCGGCCGGGTTGAGTATGCCGCCGTTGGCGCAGTCGGGGCAAGAACAGCCGCACGCCATGTTTCTCGAGCCACGCAGGCAGGTGTTATTACACTCGCAAAGGCACGCATCAGTCTGGGTCCCGCCATTGAAGCACAGCATGCCGGCGGTACAGTCGCAGGTGCAGTCAGGGTTGAAGACACCGAAAGGGCAGGTGCTTGTACAGGAGCAGTCGGGTTGGGTTGTGTAGCCATCCGAGCAGGCGTTGGGGCAGGCGCAGCCATAGTTCTCGTCGGGGTACTGGACCAATGATCCGCCATTGACGCAGGTGAGGGGCTGGCCAAGGGGGACGCCCATCGTGCACGCCATAAACTGGGCGCTGACCCTTAGGCCGACCGAGATGGCCAAGAGGAACACCGCCAGATAGCCTAAGTTCCGTGTACTGCTCACCATGGTACGCTTGTTTGGGTGTTCAGGTTAACAAACACCCCTTCGAAGTCCACACCTTTTCGCATTTGCTTCCTTCAGCACAAAGCTGGTTTTAAGTTATTTTTCCAGTTTGCTTATTTGCATGCCACACCGTGGAAAGGAAGGTGGCTGGAGTGGCGATCAGCACACTGCCAGCCAAAAGCCAGCTGGCTTTTAATAATTATAGGATTCGAACCCCAAGGAGGATGTAAGAAGAGTGATGAATGATGAGAGAAGACTACTTCCCCCTTTATTCAAGGACAGTAGAAACAAAAAGGAAATAACAGTTAGACATACAAACAGAGTACTCATTAAAAAGTGACAGTGTGAAATTGTACACACTCTATGTGTCTGTTTGGATAGACATGTTCTGGTGAACATTGTGAGTAAGAAAAAAGTATCTTTCATAAACATTTTTCAATATCTATTCATTGCTTCCATCAATAATTGGACATCTAATTTGCAGTAATAGATAAGACATTCTTTAAAGGTTGTGAACCCTTCTTTATCCCACAGACTTAATGCTTTTTGATAGTCTTCCTCTTTGCATGCCATAATCCTTAATGAAGTATAAAAATGATTTATATCTGGTAAAACTGTATCTTCCTTTTGTGTTTTCAAACCCATCATCTGTGCAAATCCATTTAAATTAACATTTGGTGGCAGGAAGTTCCATAATCTAATTTCATTATCTGATTCCCCTTGCAGATGAAATTTTTGAGTTCATCAAATGAGGAATTACTTCTAATTTGTACATGCACTTGGTTTTGAATAACTCCTTGATTTTTAATCTATATATTTCTTTAAAGGATTCATCATTCAGATCTTCCATTAATTTTCCAATGTTGCCACAAATGATTTACCTGCATTTATATCCACATGACTTATCATCTCACTGCCATTAATCATCATTACAAATGCTATTGGTTGATGTCTGGATAAACTTTTATTTATCCTATGATCCTTTTAAATACAATTTTCATTTCTTTGGTTTGGTGATGCCTCATGTGTGTTTGTTTTTAAGCTCTTGGCATCATTGTACTTGAATGGTTTTGCACATTCAGGACAATAGAGACCTCCTTCTGGCAAACTTTAGAAGATAACTGTTTGAAAAAAAGGGACCATCTGTGTCATCATGTAACTTTCAGATATTATGGCTTTTGCATTTAAATCATGAATCAACTTTCTGCCCCACCTTGTGCATTCAATTGAAAAATTGATTTGGTAGCTGTATCTTTGTATTGATCTTTGCAAACAATATCTGGATGATCAATTCTTGTATCACTATGGAATTGTTTCTTTAATTCCAAGGCATCAAGCTTTATTTATTTTATTGGTCTTTCTTTCATTAAAGTGAATACCTAAACATCTCCTTTTATCTCTTACGTTGGGATTGAATCCCACTGAAGATGATTAGTGACCCTGTGAAATTTGGCCTTGAGCCATGATGGTCACTTACACTTCGAAACGCAGGCGCAACATTCAAGAGCTGCCGCTATGGACGAAGCCCGAGGCCTGGGGAGAGTACATGTCGTTGACCTGTTGCTGGGTGATTGGGGTGTCGTGGAGCTGTGTCGACGAGGAGGAGCAGGCCACCGATGTCCTTCGGCGCAGCGGCTCCGGTGCCTTGAGGCTATTATACTTCCACACGAGAACCAGCGCAACCACTGCGACGGCAGCCACCACGAGGAGAGCCACTGGCACGGCCACCGCAACGGCTACGAGCGGAGAGACCCACCACCGCCACCGGAGGCGTCCCGGGATCCCGCCTTGGGAAGGAGTGAGCGTGGGTGACGTCGTGGAGAAGGGCGACTTTGACGGCGTGGATGACGGCGAGGGAGATCGGGTGGCTGATGCCGTGGGCGACTGTGTCGCTGAGCGCGAGGGCGATCTGGTTGGTGATGGTGTGGGCGATGGTGTGGCCGGTGACACCTGGGCTGGCGAGCTCGTGGGCGATGAGGTCGCGGACCCGACGGCCGTGGCAGAGCGCGTTGGCGATTGCGAAGACGACGCAGCAGCAGGCGAAAGCGTGGACGTGGCAGACGGCGTTGGCGACTGACTCGGTGGTGGTAGCGTTGGCGATGGAGACCACGAAGGAGAGCTTAGCGCAGCCACCGGAGACGCGGATCGGCTGGGGGACACTGACGTCGTTGAGGTCGGAGATGCGGACGGGGTGGTTGCCTGCTGATCTTGCGAAGTAGTGATCATGATAGAGGCCGCCAGGGAGAACGATTGGGATGCGGCGTCGAACACCCGCACGGCCAGAGTCGAGCCGACCCGCAGCTGCCCTGCCATGGGACCAGCGACGGCCCACCTCTCCGTGCCGTCCAGGTCGGGCGCCTGTGTGAAGCCCCAGGTCCGCGTGGGACTGTGCCAGGCGAGGTACATCCCGTTCAGGACGTACACCGGCGCAGTGTAGTTGATTCCCACGAGGGTGTAGGTGCCCATCGGGATGTCGCCCGCGGCTCCGCTGAGGACCAAGTCCTGCGGGGGGTCCACCCACTCGGGCGCTCTCTCCTGTTCAACCGGTTCGGGCAGGCACGTGATGGAGAGTGGCGGGTAGCCCGGCTGGTTGAACAGCAGACCCCAGTCCTGTGTGTTGAACCCTTGGGTCGCCGTGTCGAAGCTGTACACCATTTCGCCGGTCCAGGTCTGCGGCGGACTCTGACCCCCGGTCCAGAGTGCCACGGGGGACGGAAAGGCCCCCGTCGCGCAGTTCCGGAAGATGGTACGGTGAAACCACGGACCCAGGCACAGAGAGCCAGTGGTCTGGCGATAGGTGGGAAAATCGGCGACAGAGGCCCCGTCCCACTCGTAGACGCCGTCCATGTCGTTCCCGTACCACGCGGTCGTCATGTTGGCGATGACGAATCGCGAGCAGTAGCCTACCGGCAGCGTCGGCTCGCAGTACGACACCAGCCGGCTCTGCGGAGGGCTCGTGCCGCCATTGGGACAGGCCCTGCAGGTGACTCCGTCGGCCGAGTAGGTGTTGGCCGGGCAGGGCTGGCAGTCGCCGTTGGCGTCCCTGCCGTGTCCCTGCAGGCACTTGCACTCGCTGATGGCCACAGCACCAGCTCTGTCGGTGGTCATGTAGGCCGGACAAGCGGCGCACTGGTTCTCCGCGGGCGAGAACATGCCGCGAGGGCACGCGTGGCGCACTCGGATGATCGCCGTGCGGTCGTTGGTCAAGGCCCGACCGTTCCACTGGACCGGGCTCTCGCTTTGTTCACGAACGATAGACAGGAACCCATACCGGTTGCTGTCCGAGTAGAGCGGGTATACATCGCCTCGCCATTGGGTGTCGTAGGTCAGACGCCGCTCGTAGTTGGCCACGTGCTCGTTGTCAAGCCACGCCTTTGGACCGATGAGCTCGTAGAGGCCCGACAGGCCCGCGCCCGTATCGTCGAAGCGAAGGCGGCGCCTCGCGTTGGGCAGCATGGAGCCGCAAGACAAGCTGACGGTCGTCTCACTGGCGCTCGAGCTCACCGCCGCCCAGATCGGTTCATTGGGGCCGACCGGTACCTCGATGCCCAGACACCCGTCGTAGGTGGCGTCGTCGGCGCCAACGCGCGGAGGACTGCTGTGGTAGTGCTGGCCTGCAGGAAACACACGGAAGACGCCCAGCTCGCTGTTGCACTGGCTCACCGAGACTACCGCCGCTTGGTGCACACTGGAGTCCAGCCGCACGACCACTCCGCGGCTTGGCCAGGTGAGCGTTTGCCCGCATTGCAGCACCGGCACGTCGGCTCCGGGCTGGCATCCGGCGATCGTGCAGCCGCGGCCTTCCATGCGCTCACCACTCGGGCGAAGGCGGGTGATGCGAATAGGCAGACCGTCGGCCGTGGCCTGGCTCGCCGTGACCTCGATCAGCACCGGCGCGCGGCCTCCCATGCCGTAGACGTAGGGTGCCGCCGCGTTGACCATGCCGTCTCGCAGCGAGAGGGTGCCCGGAGCGGCGTCTATCAGGAAGCTCCGTTCACCCGTGGAGCCGGTTTTGCTGCCGTCCGTAGGGAGAGGCTGTCTTCGGTGATGAGTACGCCTCGAGCAAGACTGGGGCTGGCCAGGTTGAACCAGCTGAGATAGATCCAGTTGTCGTAGTGCCCGTAGATGGCGCTAACCGTGGGGATGCGCACGGTCTTTAGCTTGTCGCCGTTGGCCGCGTGGATGGGCGGCAGCGTGTAGGTGGCCACAGTGGGCGGCCCATCGTCGATTGTGTAGGCATCGACCGGGTACGAGGCCTTGGTGGGAATCCATCCCATCACGTCCTGGTAGCCCGCCTGAAAGACCGGGAAAGCCCTCCGCGCTTCCCATGGTATCGTACGGATTGCCGTACTCGTACCAGTCTGACTGAGCGACAACGTCCACCCGGCTGGCATGCGGCAGTCCCATGTTGTGGCCCAGCTCGTGAGTGCCGGTCCCTACCCACAGACCCTGGTCGCCGTTTAGCAGCAGGTTGTTGCCAGGCATGGCGGCCGAGCCAGCGAAAGGCAGATTGGAAGGCGGCAGGGCGGTGATGTAGTGCTTGAAGGTTGCCCACTCGCCCGAATCGATGCGACAGGCCGCGATCGGGTGGACCTCAGCTTTCTGTTTGGCCGAGGCCAAGAACTGGAGGTTGTTGTTGTTGTAGTCGTTGGCCTGTGCCAGCGTGTAGTCCACCACGTAGATGCAACCGGGATCGTACCGAATCTGGAGAGTCGCTCGGCCGCTGCTCATTCGCTCGACGGCGGCGGCCAGGTCGGTCACCATCGGTGGGAACAGACTGGCCGTCGCCGTGAGGGTGGGAGCGTTGAGAAAGGCCGTGCGTAGGACGAGCACCTTACGCATACCCAAGCTCCACGCCTCCGCGTTCAAGCCCCTCCGCGAGCGGAGTCCGGCCTGATGTTGGGCAGCAGGCTCATCGGCGGGCTCGAGGTGGGCGTAGACGCACGGGGCGGTGTGCATTCGAAAGCCGGTCAGTCTATAGGCCGCCTCGTTGGAGCCAAACTTGTGGGCCGTTGACGCGCAGAGGCGATAGTGGGTGCCACCTTCGCCTGATCCAAAGGCCTCGAGCGAGCGTCCGTTGGGGTACAACATACGCCACAGCTCCATGGCGGTGCTATTGCCTCGTGGAGGGTAGGTCATGAACATCTGCACCTTCACGACGTCGTACACGTGCTCGCCAGCCGCCTGGTCCTTGGCGTCTGGCCGTCCGGTGAGGTGGTGTGCCGGCGCCTTGCCATCGTTTTTGCGAAGCTCGCCTCCAGGGGCGACGTGTCTGCGATTGTCGTTGGTTGATTGGTTGGTTGGTTGGCACACGTCCACTCATCAACCCCACGTCCTAGAGGTTTTTGTTGGTACCCGTATCCGTGGCCTGATTATGGGTCTAAAAGGATCGACGTCCGATGGAGTGCCACTCCAGAGTAGCTCCTTCTACACCTATACGGAGAGAGCCCGATGGTGAGGCACGTGCGGAGCTTGTGGAGGTAAAGGGTAGGTCTCGGCGGCAAGGGCCAAGCTTGTACCGATGGCTTTGGACCCGGAGAGTGTAATGTCCAGAGCTCCGTTTTGAACCCACTGAGAGGTCCCACTGGCCGAAGATGTCAACACACCTGCACGTGAAAACAACACCCCAAACATGAAACGAAATAAGATGAATAAGGGTGTGTGTGTGTGGGTTCTCTCGTGAAGGCAGGGGTGAACCTGCGCATCGGTTATCATTAAAAGGGTGGGTGTGATCTCCGCAGACAACGCTGATCGTGCTGTCCCCGTCCTGTTGCCATGCGCCGGCCAGCCGCACACCCGCTGTCACAAGACCAAGCGGTGCAGGTGATCAATCACACATACTTACCCTCTCTCTCTCTCTCAGAAGCACACGTGCGCAGAGCACACGTACCAATAGGAGAGTCGAGGGTCATGACTGCGCTGTCATACTGCAGCCATAGCGAATTGTACGACACGTAGACCACTGCTGACAACAAGGCACACATGACGGGGTTATGTCACACTAGCGGCAAGCAGCCCGAGATGGGCGCACCTGTGGAGGCGTTGATTGCCGAGATCGAGAGGGGTCCCCATTGATTCCATGTGGCCTGACCAACTAACCGCACCCCTTCGCCAAACACGCCCTTGTGGTGGCCTGCGAAGAGAAAGCACACCAAGGCTCAAATGACTCTTCCTCCCGCTTGGCGTGTGGTCATGCGAAGGTACCTGGGCGGCGATCGATCTCGCCGACAACTGTGAGGGTTGCTGGGCCAGTCTGATTCCACAATCCGTAGGCCAACACTCCTGCGTTGAACACACGTCTCGCATGCTCTTCAGTGGACAGATCGGAGCCTTTACAACACACACACACACACACACAAGGCTGATGATGGTTATTACCGATGGCACCGTGGGAGAACAGAGTGAGCTCTCCGTACTGATGCCACTCCCCAGTGCTCTCAAGGTGGATTCCATTGGCTGCGCAACATATGGCTTTGAGTGGAAACTGCACGCCAGAGGGAGAGATAAGGGCAAATGGCGAGGAGGTACACAAGGAGATTTGCGCTTCAGCCAAGCTGCCCGAGGTGATGGTGACACTGCCCTCCTGGATCCACGTTGCCCCCGCGTCCACCTTGATTCCTGACCTGAGAGCAGCGGTGACCGAGATGTGGAGACTACCCTTTTGCACCAGCGTACTGCCCTCGCTGATCGATATCCCTGCGAATGCGGACCGAGTTTGTTGAGCGTGATATCCAATGATGTACTGGAGCTTGGGCATCGCACCTCGGTCGACAAGAGTTAGGGAGCCGTCGATGGTGAACAGAGGAGCAGCAACCACGAGCCACTGGTCACCTCCGCTTCCCTGCAGCACCACTTGGCCCTGCGCGCTGTCGTGTGCGTGAAAGCGGGGGTTAAACGTGGAAGATGTTTAGCGGTCTACTCCACGGACGAATGAGATGGGCAGCCGTACAGAAGAGTGACATTGTTGGCTATAATCCTCACGGCGGAACTGAAGGCGGAGTCGAGATCTTCGGAGTAGGAGCCCTCCTCGATGAGCACTGTGCTGTTGTCCGTCGCTGCCCAGAGCGCGTGGCTCACTCGGGAGAAGCGGCAGACTGCAGGGTTGGAGCACACGCTCAGAGTAACAGAGGCCGCCGCTGTTATGTGGGCAAGTCGTTGTTGTTGTGAAGTGGGTCATTGAGTGAGTCGTGCTGAACCTGCAGCAACATCAGCGGTCAGAAAGGGGACTCACCTGTTCCCGCTTGAGAGGTCGCGTCGAGGAAGAACAATAATATCGCGAGGGCGACCAACCGGACCAGGTAATGCCCATCAAGAGGATGGGTCGCTCCCTCTCTTCCCATCTTTTCGCGCGATTGAGCGTTTTGTTCTGTGCAGAGCTCCAGCGCTCAGGCTCGTTCCATGGGCCATCACTCCTGCTTTAGCGCCAGTCCCTGGCGAGAATCTGGACTGTCCATTTATGCGAATGTAAGAAGAAAAAAGGCAATACGACCATGGACACCGTGAGGGTGAGCGACAGGCCGTTCTTCGAGAGCCATGCCGCCACCTCGGGGTAGTCCTCCAGGAGCGCCTTGGCATTAAGCGGCAGCGAGGCAAGGGGGACGGCAACGACCCCGGCGGTCATTCGGTCCATGTCGGTGCTGCCTTCGGCAGAGGCCCGACCCAGTGTCTAGAGTAGCCGGGCGAACTCGAGTTCGCCCAGCAGGTCGGTCAGTGTCCGCCGCGTGCCCTGTTGGCTAGCCTCGGTCATCGGTCCGTCGTGCCGCCCGTCCTCCTCGGCTTGGCGACCTGAGCACGGTGACATCCAGCAGGTCCCGTTGGGCGACCACCAGTTCACTGGTGTCGTTGGTCGTCTCCCTCCGGGACCGGCGCTTGCCGGTGTTAAAGAGTTGTGCGGCGCTCATCGATAACGCGTGGCCTGAAGGTCTGTGATATGTGGCGCTAAAATCACACGTACAAGGGGGTACCGAGCCGCCCCCCCCCCACACATGTCCCGTCGGCCTGGTCACTGCGACGGTCGCCGCCACTTGCCAAATGCTGGAGGAGGCCCGAGAGAACTACGTAGAACCGAGCCGAGGGGTTCAATGACGCCAGAACGACGCCTGTCGGGCGCTGCTCTACTACTCCCTCGCGGCCAACACCATCGTACCCTGCAGTGTGAACAAGAGAGACGGAGTGTTGTACAGAGAAAAATAGATATCTCTTCTAAAAAAAGGAGGGAAATGCTGTTTCTGTCTTATTTAGTCTCAGGTGGGCCTTGGATTGGCTGCTGTGCGAGGGCGAAGGACAGATCGAGGAGAGGGATGGAGGCCACACAGCTGCGACGACCACAGATGCGGCCGCGAGGGGATGATCTATCGCCAGGGCGAGATCCAGGGCCAGGAGGCAGGGAGAAGGAGACCGAGGAGAAGGAGCACGGCGGTGAAGAGGAAGGAGCAGATATCAAGAAGGGGCGATCGAAGAAGCACGAGCCCGTCCTTGCCGCTGCCCTCGCCCTCCTCAAGCACAGTAAGTTTCTTTTCTTCCCCCCATCAATTTGCTTCAATTTGAGGCCTTGATTTATTTATTTTAATTCATTTCTACTTGGCCATTATTATTATTTATTCATTTATATTTTGGTGTAGCGGGTGCGACAGAAGAGGAGGAAAACGCCTTTGTGGCGCGGGTCGAGGAGGCAACGGAGGGCGATGAAGGCGACGACGAAGACGAAGGCGCCGACGAAGACGACCAGCACACGCGGGCCGTGTGTCGCCTCGTTCGGGAGCACCTCCGCACGCGCGACCCCGTACTAACCCACGACCTCGCCCCGCACTGGCTCCACGCCTCTCGTACCCCCCTCCCCCCTGGCCGCCACCGTGTGTCGTGTGTCGTGTGTCGTGTGTCGTGTGTCGTGTGTCGTGTGTCGTGTCGCCGTGCTCAGCAAAGATCGTGTGCGTGTGCGTGTTGCAGGGCTGGGGCGGGTGGAGGAGCGGCTGGCCCGGTACGCGGACCTGGTGCAGCGGCTGCCGCCCGCCAACCGCGCCGCACTCGCCGCACTCGTCCGCCTGCTGGTCGCCGCCGCGCCCGCCGAGCTCCGACTCGCCGCCTTCGCGTCCGTCCTCTGTCCCAGCCCGAGCCCGGCTAATGACGCCGACGTCGACCTCCACCTTAAGTCGTGCGTCGCTCTGTGCGCCGATCTCGTCGCCCACTCGGCCCGGCTCTTCCCGGCGAGCGACGCCCGAGATGAGGCACCGGCGGCGAACAGCGGCGGCGGTGGGGCCGAGGAGTGGTCGTGGCGCGTGGTCGAGGAGCCGTCGCCGGAGGTGTCGTCGGGCCGGCAGATGCGGATGGCCCTCTCGGTCGTCGTGTCGCACGGCCTGGGCGGGACCGTGCGCGCCCGGCTCTACGCCACGCAATCGCCCGACGGAAAGGTCCCCCCTCTCTTTGTCCCAATCTCCACGTACACTCGCGCACTCACGCGTTGCCGACTTTCCATCGCACGACACGACACGACACGCACCACGACACGACACGCGAGACAGGTGGTGCTGAGGCTGCAGAATGCGGAGGGCGACGTCGACTTGGACTCGGGGCTGCTCGTTGTGGAAGAGGAGCCGGCGGCTGGGTCTACCGACCACGACGATGGCGATGACGATGACGACAATCAAGGGGTAGAGGGCTCGCGGGAGAGCCGCGCGGGCTCCGCGCGTGGACTGACACGCCGCGACGCCGCCAAGCCGTCGTCCTCCTCATCATCGACTTCGCGATCCCGAGCGTCATCGGCTTCGTCATCGTTGTCTTCACCATTGCCGGCCGTGTCGTCGTCCGATGACGTCAGCAGGTTGTCGTCGTCGACTTTATCATCGTCATCAATCGCCGCCGTGCGCAGCGGCGGCTTCGCGGCGGTGACGGCCGTGTCGCCGCTGCAGCGCGAGTCGCTGCTGCTGCTCCTGCCCACCGAGATCCAGCAGCACATCTACTCGTTCCTGCCCATCGGAGAGATCTTCGCCACGCTGCCGCTCGTGTGCCGCGACGTCCACCAGACCACTCAGCGCGACGACGTCTTCTGGCACGGCCTCTACGACCTCCACTTTGGCGGGCCGCCGCCGGCCCCCTCCATCGCCGGCGCCGGCGCCTCGGTCGTGGCCGGATTGATGGACTCGGGCGGCGGCGGAGGCGGTCGGGGCCGGCGTGGTGGAACCGGCGGCGAGCTGACGACGACCCACCAGCGCCACCACCAGATCGTCATCAAACCGACGACCACGACCAGCAGCAGCGGCGGCGGCGGCGGCGGCGGCGGCGTGAAGGTGGCGGGCGGGGCCAGGGACGAGGCGCCAGCGGCAGCTGGTAGGGAGGTGGGCGGCGAGGAGGGCGTGGAGGAGGGCGGCGAGGAAGAGGCGGAGCCCACGGCTCACGTGTGGCGCAAGGAGTGCGAGCGCCTCATGAAGGAGCTGCGCGACATGGAAGAGGTACGATGTGTGTGCCAAGTGTTGTGTGCGTGTCGGTCGTGCGTTGTGTGCGGTAGCACGAAACCGACTGACGACTACGATGGGGCGTTGGGGGGTTGGGGGAGTACAGGACTACGCGCGGGAGATAGCGGTGCTCGACGTGGAGCTGGCGAAGAAGAAGCGGAAGAAGGCGCGCCTGCACAAGCGGCGGCGGATCAAGTACGCCGTCGAGAAGTGCCACCTGCCGCTCCTCAAGCGTTTCATCCGCGCCGCCGACGTCTCCGTCGACGTACCCCTCACTGAAAAGGTACATAACGACACGCACACGCACCACCGCACACGCACACGTGTCCTGATAGGTGAGTGGACAGAAAGCGACGCCGCTGATGTTCGCGGCGATCCGGGGCAACGTGCCGATCGTGAACTGGCTGCTGGCCAACGGCGCCAACGTCAACGCGGTCGAGGAGGGCTGCGCCTGGCAGCCCATCATCCACGCCGCCCAGGGCGGCCACACCGAGGTGAGAACCATCTTCCTCCTCTGGTGTGTGTGTGTGTGTGGTACGCGCGGTGCGTGCGGTGAGTGTGGCGTGCGGGGACTGAAGGGGAGGATGGTGACAGGTGGTGAGGATTCTGCTGTCGCACGGGGCCAATGTGAACGCGAGGACGGAGAAGGGCGGGACGCCGCTCATGCACGCCACCTACGAGGGCTACGCGGACGTCGTCAAGATCATTCTCGGTACACACACACACACACCCACACAACATGCACGACACGACACGACACGACGTACACAGAACACATATGATGTTATGGCTGATGTGGCTGAGGTCCTACGCGCAGCAGAGCACGGAGCCGAGGTGAACACGCAGTCGAAGAACGGCGAGTCGGCGCTCATGATGGCTGCCGAGAAGGGCCACGCCAGCATCGTGCGCATGCTATTAGGTACGCGCCAGCGTTCGTTCACACGGCACACACGCGACACGACACGACGCGACACGAGCACGGGCTCATATGTGAAGGACAACAGAAACGGGAGCGGACGCGACGCTGGCGACGCATCAAAGCAAGAGGACGGCGGTGTGGTTCGCGAAGGAGAACAAGCAGGAGGACATCGTCGCCCTCTTCGACGAGTTTGCCAAACCAGCCACCAACAGCTGAACTATGCGAATTCCATGAATTCCAATAATTCTAGACATACCCGTCACTAAAATTTCGTTTTTGTTGTGGTTTCTATTCTCATTTTCTCCCTTGCCGCTCGAGATGACGCTACG